TGGATTTTAAACTGTCATACAATTTTTTTCATCGATAGTCTGTAATTGGAACCATAACTCTTATTTATTCAAATTGTATTAATATGTAAAGACCAAGTGTAACCTATATCATCGTTAAATCTTATCTTATAAAACCAGTGAAACTTCAAAATCGTTAAAATTCATGACTCCTGCCGCATTGTGCGGGTACACAACTAGTATTTATTAAATAACATGTAAAATATCTAAATATTAAAATTAAAAATATAGTGTTTAATAAAAACTAGTAGATTCTATAATACAATAATTTTGAAAGTACAATGATGTAGTAAGAAAGTCACATCACCATAATATATGTGGACAACCTAAGTGGACAATGAGGTGACATGAAAACCTAATATAATAGGTAAATTTAAATCAAAATGTTACTCAATGCTATAATAAGTAAATTTTTCAAAATACAATGTTCTAATAAAAAATAATTTAAAAATATATTATTATAATAAAAAAACTAAAAACACAATATTATAATAAAGAAATTTATGAAAAAAATTGCTCTTTTATACATTTTGTCCGTTAATAAATTAGTAAATAAAAATAAAAATTGTATTCCTAGACTGCATTATGTAAAAGAATAATAATTGGCATCGGCATGTAGAATATTTAAATGGGTTTTTATAAGAGAGAGAAAACTCCATTGCTTCCCACACTCTTGTAGAGAGAGAAAGCAGTTGTGAGATCTGAGAGACGATTGAATTGAGTCCAATCTAGAGAGAGAAAACAAGCATTTCATAGTTGACGCGCTCTGTCTCTTTCTATCCAGTATACTCTAAAATCTGTATACAGACATACATAGTGGATGTGTGTTTCAGAAACCCTAGAGGATAAACGCTTTGATTTCGAGCTGATTGATGTGTGATTGACTTCAGATCCGAGTGATGGAGGGCGTATCCGGCTATGGTGGTGTGGTGGGAATGACGGACATGCCGGAGATGTTACACGGAGGGGAGTACAGCGGCGGCAATGTACGGCATCCGATGGTTGAGACGACGCCGTTGACGGTGTCGGGATCTTTTAAGGAAGGGGGAAGGTCTTCGGGTATGACTAGTCGTAGGAGAGGTTCGAGGAGGCCGAGCTTAGACACTGATGATTTTATGAATCTGCTCCACGGCTCGGATCCGGTGAAGCTCGAGCTCAATCGGTTGGAAAATGAAGTTAGAGGTGAGTAATGTGAATTGATCTTTATGGACTAGTTAACCTTTTAGTTGGTTGATTTGATATACTTTTTGATATTTTGTGCACGCTCACCGGCGGGGTATTCGTTTGACTTTTCTGCAGATAAGGATCGAGAATTGAACGAAGCTCAAGCAGAGATCAAGGCGCTCAGGCTGTCTGAACGCCTAAGAGAAAAAGCTGTTGAAGAGGTTATAATTTTGCTTATCATTTTGTATGCATTTTCTAATTGTATTGGACACAATGTGGAGTTTACTTGATATGCCAGACAATTTGAATGTAAATGCTTGCTGGCTTCAGCTTCTTGTGTCGATTTTACAGTGCCAATCCCCCCTTTATAAATTAGCTTGCATGATGTTAGCTTCTTTTTTCTTATATTCAATTCCTTATATTCATCATACACATAGTTGTCCGCTGGATATTGATTTGCTACTCTATTTTCTTTCGTTTATAACTTGCGATAGGGTCCTACTTCTTGTTATTGATTCTTATATGGGCATATGTTTTTGAAATGTTAATCTTGTTTATAGAGAAAAAGTCTTGCGATGTCATTTTGTTGGTGGAGTTGAAGGTTTGTTATAATGTATATAATGAGTTAGATATTGTGCATGCTTTTGGTGCTATCAATTTTCTATTTGGTGTTAGTTTGTGGATTTAGATATAATGTACCTCTTCGACTGGTCCAGCTTCCAATTATCATTTTCTTTCTGTGTTCTTGGGATGACACGTACACCTTTTAAACCACCTTACCTTTCTCTTTTTTCACTTTCTTTCTATCTGAACTTGTACAAACCTTTTCTCTGTGGTGGTGAGCTGGTTGTTGCCTATCAGCTCAAGTCTGTGCCAGAAGACAATTTTTGCACTCAGTTTGTATTACCACGTAAAAGGAGTTTGTTTCTGCAGTCTGCGCTTGAGTAAGATGCTTTGCAAACATTGCCCTTTTGTTCTTTTAGAATTGGGGAATTTGTTCCCTTTCCCATTTGTGTGTTTGATAAACATTTTATTGGGGATGACAAGATAAAAGCACTAAACCAGTGGTTGTGATCTATCTACTCTTTTAAACCCTAACATGCTCACTTTGTTTCCTAGATTTATTAGGAATGCTAAAATTAAGATTTGACAGGCTAGGTGTTGCCACATTAGTCTTGTGAAAATTTATTTTATAATCACATAATGTTGTTACATATTGTTTGTTGTGTTCTTTTGCCCTTTTTCTCTTGTAAATCATATTTATAGTTGGAGTTTAATCTGACAAACTCTTGCTTTTCTGTGCATACCTCAGCTAACTGAAGAATTGACGAAGGTGGATGAGAAGCTGAAGTTGATGGAATCTCTTCTAGATAGCAAAGTATTCACTAAAGCACTTCTATCTCTGCTGCTTCTTTATTCTTTCCATTGTAGCATCAAATATGATAGATGTACTTTTTGGCTATGTAGAATCTTGAAATCAAGAAAATCAATGATGAGAAAAAAGCATCTATGGCGGCTCAGTTTGCAGCAGAAGCCACTCTACGAAGGGTTCATGCTGCTCAAAAAGACGATGACATGCCTCCAATTGAAGCGATCCTTGCACCATTAGAAGCTGAGCTGAAGCTTGCTCGACAAGAGGTTGGCTTCTATGTGGTTATTGATAATGCCCGTCAAATTATTGCTCAATTGACTATGAAAGATTGAACTTATATATTGTTGGCTTTATTTGGCTTTCAGATTGCTAAGCTGCAGGACGACAATAAAGCATTAGATCGACTGACTAAGTCAAAAGAGGCTGCTCTACTTGAAGCTGAGAGAACCGTACAGGTTGCCTTGGCGAAGGCTTCAATGGTAGATGATCTTCAAAATAAGAACCAGGAGTTGATGAAGCAGATAGAAATTTGCCAGGTATGGTGGTTTTATGTCTTCTATCATTGAGGCTTTTAAGTTTGAATAAAGGGTTTTGTCCCCTTTTTCCAAAAAAGAGGCTTTTAATTGGTCGTTCTGATTTCCGTATACATGATACTTGTTATGCTTATTTTTTATCATCAGGAGGAAAATAAAATTTTGGATAAAATGCATCGCCAAAAAGTTGCTGAGGTTGAAAAACTTACCCAAACTGTACGTGAGCTTGAAGAGGCTGTTCTTGCTGGTGGTGCGGCTGCAAATGCTGTGAGGGATTACCAACGGAAAGTTCAAGAGATGAATGTAAATGCCATACAATTCCATCCTTATAGTTGACTAATTTTCATCATCATGGGATATTCTTTGGTCAAATGCTATTAACTAATTTGTTGATTTTAACCATATAGGAGGAACGAAAAACTTTGGATCGAGAGCTAGCACGTGCAAAAGTTACAGCAAATAGAGTGGCAACGGTTGTAGCCAATGAATGGAAAGATGCTAATGACAAAGTGATGCCAGTAAAACAATGGCTTGAAGAAAGGAGGTTCTTGCAGGTATAGGATATTTCTCGAGTATGAGCTTATAGTATTTCTGTTAACAAGCATTTATTTTTGTTAGGTATAGGCTGACCAATTTCTAAGCATACGTCTATTCTTTTGTTGACAGGGTGAGATGCAACAACTGCGAGACAAGTTAGCGATAACCGAGCGTGCAGCAAAGTCTGAAGCACAATTGAAAGTATTCTTTCTGTAAATGATTGTTTTTCTTGACCATGGTCTTTCAGTTCTTATGAAGCTAACTTTATTTCTTTCCATAACAATATAGGAAAAATTTCAACTGCGACTCAGAGTACTGGAAGACACTTTGAGATCGCCAAACTCTCTTGCACCTTCACGTCGCCAGTCTCTAGGTGGAGCTGATAACTTCTCCAAGCTGGCTTCAAATGGAATTTTACCCAAGAGATCACCATCTTTTCAGATAAGGTCGACACTTTCATCTGGTTCCAGTTCAGTCTTGAGGCATGCGAAAGGTACATCAAAATCGTTTGATGGTGGTACACGGGCACTTGACAGGAGTAAACTTACTTCGAATGGAAGTGGCAGTCCTACTTTTAACCTTGCCAAGGAGATTGAGATCCCTAGTGATGAAAAACCCAGTGGCTCCTCAGGCACTGAAATTGAGGATGCTGTGCCAGGACTATTGTATGATTTGCTTCAGAAAGAGGTGGTTGCTTTGAGGAAATCTGGTCATGAAAAGGATCAAAGCATAAAAGACAAGGATGATGCAATTGAGGTTAATGTCTTTTTTTTAGGTGTTCCTTTTGGCTGCTTTTGGTTCGTGGGACTGGACAGGACAGTACAAAACTCACTGTCCCACGTTTTGCTTGACATGGGACATGACAAGTGAGTCAAAAACTCATTGTCTCACGTTTGACATGACATGAGACAAGGACCGGGATTGGGTGGGACAAAAAGGCTTTTTTTGTTCCACCAAAACAGGTGGAACAAAATGGACAAGAATGGGACAGAAACTAAAAAATTACTAATCTACCCTCATTTGATGTAATATGGTATTTGTTTTAATGGTCACCACCATCGCCCACCACTACTTCCACCACATTGGCCACAACTACCTCCACCATTGTTGGCCTGGTCGTACCAAACACCAGACAGACATGAGACAACTTGTCCAGTCTTGCTCTGACCAGTCCTACTCTCTTTTCCTGTCCAGTCCAGTCCAATCATGTCTGCCTACCAAACACTATCTTAATAAGAAGTTATTGGTTCATTATTTGGATTCTAATAATGCTTTCAGATGTTAGCCAAGAAAGTTGACACTTTAACCAAGGCTATGGAGGTTGAGGCCAAAAAAATGAGAAGGGAGGTTGCTGCAATGGAGAAGGAGGTAGCTGCTATGCGTGTTGACAAAGAACAGGACAATAGGGCTAAGCGGTTTGGGAATTCCAAGGGTGCTGTGAACAGCTCTCAGCTACTTCCGGCTAGGTCTGTTCTATCTTTCTTTGTTTTCCATATATGTGCATCTTCTGTTCTTTTTTAGTTCTTTGAATGATTGCATGTGTATATCAATTATTGCCATGCATGTGTCATGACATGTGAATATGAACATTCTATGTGCTGTTTATCACTGATGGAAAAAGCATATAGTTCATGTGCTTTTCAATCTAACATCATTTGAGCCTTTGACGAAAGCTTTATCATGGGGTTGATATTTCTAAAACTACTTTTGTTTCAGCATATTAAATGAGTCCTTACTTCATAATTTAACAAAGAAAAAGACTTGTTTACTTTGACATGAACGAGTGATAGGATGGTTATCATGTGGTATACGCCACATTGTCTATAAGTGCACTCCTCCTGGCCATCTAAAATAAAAATTAAATTAGGGCTGGTTTCTAAATATGCTTAACTTTGAAGCTGTTTGAACACCTGACTTATGATGGATGGAATATCAAATAATCAGCTTGGCGATTTGTCAAAGTTGACATTCATCTGGTTTAATTTGATATAGTGTCTTTCAGAAATACATGCACATCCATTCAAAGTTGTTGTATATATATATATACACACTATTACATAGTAACTGGTATATTTGAATGAATGTGATCAAGGTAGCTTTAAATTTGGAACAAAACAATAATGGCTTAGCAGAATCAGGTTCGTGAATGATTTTAGAATTTTATGCAAACTTTAGGTTCTCAACTATGTTCCTCTTGAATTAAGACGCTAAATTCAGTTGGAAATGATTCAATAGCATTATATAAACAAACAAACTGTATCATTCTGAAGACGATAGCATAATAAGATACAAGAACGCCATTTTGTAGCTGATGACTTGCCTTGGCAAAGTTAGGTACAGCTAATGGAATATCTTTCAATGTTCTCTTGACTTATGCAACCCCCCCCCCCCCCTTCCCAAAATAAATAAATAATGCAGCAGTATCTGATGAGTATATGTATGTTGTATGCAGGAATGTAGCACGGGGTGGGTTGACACGCAGCACTCAATGACATGAAAAAGACCATGTGTATTGGTGGTGTTTTTACTATTTTACCCTTTAACGTGATGGATGATTATATATAAGTAGCATACGAATGATACCTTTATGTCGTTGTGAGTAGCGTAAAGAAAGATGAAAAGAGAGGAGACGAAGAAAAGGGCATTCCTTGCGACTGACAAGACAATTTGTTAGAAGAAATGAGCAGTGGATGGAGATTGCTAACCATTTTCGTTTTTCGCAGTTGTTTGTGTGTTTTGTTGTATAGGGTAGCAGCTATCTTAATTACTACTTTTGGTTCTATAGTTTGTATCTGCATAAGCATAGTGTGATTGTGGCCCGAGTTTGTTAATATTTGGTGTAATCAGATTCAGATGGAAGAAAATTCGAGTTCATTATTCGTGTTTATGTTTTTTCATAGATGAATGGACCGTTTTTTAATTAGGAGGGGCGGTTTTGGAAAAAAAAACTTGGTTTTTTACATAAATATCTATCTAAATAAGTCACTTTCTATATACCATCAAGAAGTGATGGTGTGATGAAACTTTTGAAGTTGATGGCTTATGCAATAATCATCATTTCTCCGCTTGTTCTCTTATCATGGGATGTGTTGTTAGATCTTCCAGATATGAGGAGATGGTCAAAGAGTGACATCTGATTTTTCAAAGAAGAAAGATTATATTTTAAAAAATGAGAAGGTTTGGATAGAGAGCCATTGTCATTGGTTGTGGAGGACATTTCAGATTTTGTTTATGAGATCAAACAAACCGTTTTGGTATCACTTGTTGGTCCTGAAAAGTAATGAATTACACAAGATGTGTTTGTAGAAAGAGGGGCCTTGAATACAAACACAATATATATTCATTTTTTAATTCTATATTTTATATTAAAACAAAGAATTATAGATTGTTTCGGAAGCTAGGAAGGTAAGACATGTGATCTTAAACAATTTGACTGATGACAAATTTGTTAACATTGAAAGCGTGAGGGAAGAAGATACTCTTTTAGATCCGAAGGACTAAGATAGTTCTTCAGATTCTGATGCTGATTTTGCCTTAGAAACTATTACATAGAAGTTCTTTCAAAACGGACGAGTAACAATAAATGACAAGGGTGACCTTTTATAGCCACCATTGCATTAAATGCTCCTGTCCAACTTTAACATGTGTCTTCGTCTGATTTGCTCATCCATACATACTTGTACTCTTCCTTTCAGTCTTTTGTGGTTGATGTAGACGCTTGTTATCCTATTCTATCCTTTTGTATATCGAGGGAACAATAAAGGAAGTATGCTACTAATAAAATACTGTAAAGAACTTACTTTGTCTGACATGTTATGCATGTTCCTACACCAAGATGAGTGTTGGAAGAGTTGGTGAGTCAAACTTGATAGACAAGTTTGCACTCCAAAATTCGGTTTACTAGTAATAGTATTTGTCCCACTACCATTTGACTTTATTTTTTATTGATCTTCTTTTTGGCTAGATGACAAACTAATCCAGTTTGATGACAATCTTGACCTCACTTCAACTAGTCTTCCATTTTGTTGAAGCTATTTTGTTCTTGGATCAACATAGATAGTTACTACACTTTACAAGTAAAAATCATATCTTGTTCTATTTTGAAATAAGTTATAGATCGGACATCCAACTATAGAAACTTTATGAAATTGATTCATTGAATTCTAAACGACTAGGTATAAATTGTGGGTTCTTGAACCTCAATATTTTTTTTTGATTAACCTGGATATCCAACCCGTTATGCGAGCCGACTAATCCCAGGGCGACCACCTGCTTTGCAGATAGCCCAGAGTCACCGTATTTGGAACTCCGTGGCCACAAGGGGATTTTTATTCCTCCTTAGATTTGAACATGAGACCTCCTGGTACTTTTGACATTTGGAGCCAAGCTCAAACCAATCAGGCACCACCCTTGTGGTTATTGAAGCTCAATATTAAATGGCCAATAAGTATGTCAATCGGATTCTACTCATCAGACGGAGAATTATCAAGATAGGATTTGATCTCACAATTTATACAAGCTAAGGATCCGATGAATATTCAACATCCAAAACCTTAAACTTGAGTTTCATATGTTAAACCTTTTCAGTAATATCCGATGGATGTGATACATCAAATATTTTTATTGTAAGACAAAAATTTCTTTCTAAGTGTTTGATCGGATGTTAAATGTATTATTTATAAATCCGATGGTTGAGACCAACAACATATTATACAATGTAAGTTCTAAAGTACTATTTGATTAGTACTATACTTCATTCATTGTTCCGTCTACATACAAAAGAATGAGTTGGATTAAAAAGTATCTACATCAACTTCAAAGGCTGAAAGTTGGATAACAAACATTTAATGTAATGGTGGCTATAAAATATCATCCTTATCATTTGTTGCAACTCACACATTTTGAAAGGAATTTGAGGGATAGTTTCTGTAACACTCTCAAATTTAGAAAGAGCGACTAATTTAAAATTTCTGATAATACATCAAATAAATGATAAATCTTTTTCTATAAATCAATACTTTAATTACCTTGAATAATGAATCTAGATTTAACATTAACAATAGATAAACCAAGCCTTACACAAGTCTATATTTAGGGATGGGTTACTAAGACCCAATAACGATCGTAATATTCACAAATGAAATATGTCCCCGATAGCTAATACTTCTTGTGCCTCTAACTAGCACTATCTCATTACAGTGTCGCTAGTACCATTTTTCCAAGGACCTGATGCACATGCCAACAAAGAAAAAAGATTACGCTTAACGCCTAGTGAGTTCAAACAGTTTTCATCAATTATATAAAACAGTAAAACGGAAAGAATGTTGTTTATTTTGTTATCTCAGTATTATTTATCCAACCAAACCAAAGTTTTCAAATTCACCATCTGAAACCATTTCTTTTATTAAGCTTTTACTTCAATCTCCGTGGACGATAACCTATATTTTATCATTTTATTACTTGAAAGACGATATTGGACCATATTGTATAATTACTTTTGATTCCAATCATCACATGTCTGAAGGTGTGTAAAAAGGTTCTATAAATATGCCATAATTGCATATAACCCCAAAAGCTCTACATAGAGCAATTTAAACCGGATAAATGTCCCGAAGACCTATCTGAATCAAACTGAGCCAAAACTCAACAACTCAATTGACTTTCAAATAATAGTCATCATATGCAATAAAAACGCATTTAACCAACGTTTATGCACACAAATGCTCTAAAGGCATGATTAACTCAAAAAATTATCATTGGTTGGGACAAACCATTTTCCAATTGAAATCAAACCATTTACATTTCCAAAATCTTCCGTAACGTAACAACATACATTTTCCAAACTAAGGTGCCGTTTACCAAACGCTTACCCGGGTAAGCGCTTACCAAGTCATTTTACTTTACCGGATGAATTGGCAAGGGCTAATAATTACCCCGTAAGAACGAAGACAAGAATCTAGAGTCTTACCCAGTAAGTAAGAACGAGGATTCTTACCATGGTTAACATTTATTGGGATAAATTGTTGCATATGATGTGTTTTAGTGAATAAAATCTTACCTGATAAGTAAGAGATAATGTTGAATTTTACCGGTTAGTACTTACCGGGTAAGTGTTTAGGTAAAAGGCCCCTAAATATACTAAAATGATTAACACCAAATAAGCTTCATTTATAAGATAAAATCATCAAAAGAACCTACACTCATGATTTATTTATCAAAATTTTCAAAAACCCAAATATAGGTATTTTACATGACTTATAAAACCAAATATACTCAAGATGCAACTTTCATCAAATAATCGGCACAATTGATAAGCATCAAGAAATCATCTTAAAACTTCAAAATAAACATTTTGAAATGTACATAGTTTTCACAAAACAACTTGAACTCATCTTGCTAGGTGAAGTTAAACCTAGTTTACAAAATCTAAACCTCTAGCTTCCGTTGGTGAAGGTTTGCGTTCCACAAGAAAACACTTAAGATCACCATCCAAACCAAAGACACCAAGAGTTAAACCATGATTCAAACTCATAAAAATCCCAACAATAGATTTCAAAATACCCAAAAAGCTTACCTCTTCAAAAATCTTTAAAACCCTCCACCGTAGATCTTCAATCCTCATGATAACCATCCATTTGTTCTAAAAACCCTCTAGAAATCGGACCCTAGGGCTCCAAAATTGCTAAAATTGGAGGAGTGAAGAAGATGGATACAAATGACAAATCCTAGCTCCCAAACCACTTTATATACTTCACGTCCCGATGGCTATCGTGTCGGGCAATAGTGACAGTGTCATAACTGCATGGCACAATCGCCCGGATGCGCCAGCTCTCGATACATCTCATGCGACTGTGACTGTCAAAATCGCACCAGATGTTGCTATCGTGCCTGTTATCATACATCATCACAATTGCATGGAATGATTGTCCGGATTCACCAATTCATGGTGCATCTGGTGCTATTGTTCCATTGTCACTACTGCATGGCATAATCATTGGGACCACCTAACACTTGATATCACTGATGCTTTCGTGACAGATGTTACAACCGCATGAAACTATAGTTGAGACGACCATACTATCAGTACCATCAATGCTATTGTGACAGATTTCACAACTGCATAGCATTATAGTTGGGACGACAATACTCTAAGTATCATCAGTGTTATTGTGACAAATGTCACAACCGCATGGCACTATAGTCGGGACGACCATACTCCCAGTACCATCGGTGATATTTTGACATATATCACTATCTCATGGCACTACAACCATACTCCATAATTGGTTTTCTTTATCGGATCACTCGGTTCAACATTTTCTTCAACTGGGACAAAAATCAAGATGTCACAGTTTCTTAGGAAAATTCGACGTCAACTATCTGAAGGACTATCTCAATACTTGAGATCTGAAAAAGTACTTCCTCTCTCACTCTTTTAGTTGTTAGCAAATTTGTCACCAGTAAGATTGTTTACGATCAAGTCTTACCTTCCTAGTTTTAGTACATATATAATTTTTTGTTTTTTAAAAACGTACAAAATAAAAAAATAAAAAATTAGTTGTATTTATATTCAACCCCTTTTACAAAACACACCTTATGTTAGTTATTTCCAGGACGAACAATTTCCTTTTATGTATATAACGCATTATCATTTAAATTTAAATTTTTATCATTTAAACTAATTTAATTCTTTCAATTAAAAGGTAAAAATATTTATAGATTTTGCAAACAATAAGAGGAAATTGAAACTAACGCTAGGAATCTTTAACGAACAGTATCACGAATCATTATTATTTCGATACAATTTAAGAATTTTTTACCCTCTTTTCGTGTGTCGAAGACTAGGAAGACGAATAACCCCTCCCAGAAATATTTGT